TTGGTAACGTCCAACCTTTGATATCAGTGTTGTGGTTTGACTCCCAATGTGGCATGCGGTTACTGACTAGTTCTACCCGCCCATTGTACAGGGACGTGGGCCCCATCCCAGGGGAGCGTGCAATGTTCTTTGGTCACTCACACAGGGCCCCAAGACCTGCCGACGTGAGACCGTTCCGACCAGAGCACGACGTTGCCCCCGGGGTGACTGTCGCCATTCGGATGGCAGACGAAGACGCCGATGCCTGGGCCCGGGTGTTTGACATCGCCAGAGTCACCAGGGTATTCGACCCCAGTGAAGAAAACGGATATGACGTGCGCCACTTTGAAGTGCAGTATTACGCTTGTGAAGGCGTTGTGGAGAACTGCGACCCTGACAACCCTTCCTTCATCAGCGAAGAAGTCCAACTAAACAACCCGTGGTTCCTTACGGGCCAAAAGGAGGTCATCCCTTGGACGGCAGTGGTGAATGAGCAGTGGGTGGGAGGAGATGGCCACTTATGGCCATGTTGGTGGGAGTGTCTAAGGCGGGAGCTTCCCCGCCTTCATTCCACAGATCCTGGCGGGGATTAACACAGGCGTAATCTTCTTGGGTTGTACAATACTTGTAATATTCTTGTGCCGAGACCCTGTGTGTGTGTTATCTCATCTTCACACTTTGTGATGGCATCACAGTATTGTGAGCATCCTGTGTGTATGCATTGCATACAAGTTGTCGCTTGGCCGACACCAGGCCTTGGGGAGCAGTCGCGGGGGCAAGTTCACATCCAGTGGCGGGCACCAGGCTGTAACCAACGTTTAGCCAGTTGATACGGTTCCGCCATGGCGGAACCGCCAGTAGGCCGCCAGAGCCGCCAGTGACTTGACTGCCAACATTACAATGTACTACCGCCTTCGTTCGCCAGGTTTGATACCTCAGCCATTTTATGTCAAAGAGTTGCAACATAACCGCACCTGTAGGAAACTTTAGAGGCAGACAATCACAGATGCGATGGAAGTGTTATGTCTCAAAAAGGCCTGCATTTAGGGTATCTTTTAGAGCAAGTAGGTTTGCTTGGGGTTGGTAGTAATATTGCACAGATCCCTGTGGCAAGTATAGTCACGCTGCCACCTTCAACACCGTCACTTGTGGTTCTGCCGCGAAACTGCACGCTTAGGCACCGAAAATGCTGAGATCAATATAATATTTATGGTGGCGGGTGCCGCCAGCACCAGCCCAAATACAGCGAAATTATTAACATGACATTGAAACAATATTCCACGATAGTGGGATCGACGTTGTGCAAATATGCTACCTAATAGGTTTATAGCATGGCGCAATGGGACATTTTGAACGGAAGGGAGTTTAGTGTTCAACCGGACCCATTGAGGATGATACGGGGTATGAAAAATGCTCACCCTTTGCCTGAGATACGGACAGTAATGAAAAATGCTCACACTCTGCCTGAGATACGGACAGTAAGGAAGGACTTGATGGATACATGCGATCTGCGTGAAACGCGAGCCACAACCAAGCGTACCTTAGTGCCCTGTGACATGTCCACAAACTCAAGACAAGAGACGATTCTGTACGGCAAGAAAACCGACAATGCTCAATACGTCGCAACAAATACAATGTGACGGTGGAGGACCCAACCTCGTGTAGAAGCCAAGATGCCCCTAAAAAACAACGTCGAAACAACGCCGAGAATGAGTACGCTGGGAAAGGGGGTTATGTGCTTCGATGAGTACTGCAGGTGGGAGAGGTGTCTTCTCCCGCAAATGTTTGTCAATTTTGACATTTTTTTTTCTACAACACCAAGTCGGGCGTGCCACTGACATCACTCAGCACGACATGTATCGCATGGACGTCAATGCGCTGACAGCGGGCGATATTGGTATTAGGATTGCAGAAAGACAATCTGATGTTATGTGCCACATTAAGATGTTGAACGCTTTTAAATCTGACGTGACCGGCTTAGCAAGCATCTCACGTTTGTGCATGGCCATTTCAACAAGATTGATAGGTAGTGCATCAATAAAGTCGTTGCAACGAAGCGCTGTGCCTCCGCCCCAATTTACGGATGTGCTGCATCTCCAGACTGAAAGCCTTGCATAAGAAGCAATACTCTGAGTTGAAAAGTGCCCCCTCTGGGCAGGCCACTGTTCCTTCGGCATCGTATTTGAGGCACATCCGAAACTAGAATGTTCGAAAATTGATTCACAGAATTAATTCTATTCCCGATGCCCAGAGCGCGCACTTTTGCGCCAATTCCACCCCACCTTGAGAGGAGCAACGAGACAGAAGATTCGGCCAGGCGTGGCGGACGTATTTAGGAACCTCTTTATTGAGATTGCACTTTCCTTTAGGACTGCTGGTTGTGAGAACGCTCCAGATAAACGCACAAAGCAAATACATGGTGTTCTGTGGTGGCCACCGCTCTGTCTTAAAGGATGGACGGCTTCAACTTTGGTGGGATTTTGTAAACTGACTTTCAACAAATCCTCCAAATCTCCCCTTATGAGATTGTGCTGGGTCAAGAAGATAATTCTGTATTAATGGAGAGGTCGCCTCCGTCGTCGCACATCATGGTACAGTGACGTTCAGATTCATTGGAGCATTCATCCATGGGGTTCCACAGCGGTCAGTGCAGAACGCAGCCACGTCTGCAGATCTAGTGCACCAAGACACCAAGACACCAAGACAAAAGAACATGCCAATCCAAACAACTTCAAACCTATTTTCCTATGGTAGCAGCAAACGCTCTCCCTTACAGAAAACAAGAATGTGGCACGGAAAAGCACATAATCTCACATGGAGACGATTTCCACAAAGGCGATGTTGAGTTGTTGCACTACCAAAGTTTTGGCAGTTGAAGCACCGCGCAATATCATAATACTTGACCATACCCGGCCACGATTTCGCACCCCAAAAGAATGCAACAACAGTCAAGTCGTGCTACACTTGTTTGAATTTTTTAGCAATACCTGCAGCCCGACATTGACAGATTAGCAAAAGAGGTTGTGCTTGCCATATATGGACACATGCACGAAAGAGGACGGAAAAGCATGCAACCAAGTCAGTTCAATTTGAAATGCTCCGATTCCTACAGGCAGATAGCATTTGCATGCCACATCGCCACCCATGGCATGCCACATGACTACCAATGGATTCAATCAGGCTTGGTTTTTACGCCGTAAAACCTGATCGTATTTACGTTTTTACGCGTAAAAACAGTTTTTACGTTTTTACGCATAAAAATGCGTAAAAATACGTAAATACAACGTAAAAACTGCCCGGTGTATATAAGGACAAAACATGCAAACTTGCGGAGTCCGGAGACTGGAAGCCACACGCCCTGGAAGGGGCAGAAAACGAGTTTTTGTTGAACACCATCATCGCCCTTGCCAAGGGCAAGGCGGACATTGCACTGCGGGTGCTGGAGACGGCGGATGACTGATCATTGTGAGCAACTTTCATCGTGTAACCTGGGTGTCCCAGAGAGCCGCAAAAACGTAAAAATAGCCGTAAAAATAGGCCCTTTTGCAAATTTACGTATTTACGTATTTACATAAAAACGTAAAAGTAAAAACGTAAACGTAAACGTAAAAACCAAGCCTGGGTTCAATGTGTATCCTCAGGGCATATTGAACTCCTGGCTGCCTAAACGTGCCAGCTTTGGGGCTCTCCTCTCTAGGGCGGTTCCCGGCGCGATCTTGGGTACATTCTCTGAACTCTCAAAGATTTGGAACTTGGGGAACCTCGCTAAAGAATGCTTGAGGCGTGTAGCTGGATGCATATACCTTCCGTTGTTGTGGACACCAAAGCAGATCACTGATCAGACCAGATGATCTCATTGAGCTATTCGGTCCCTGTTCTCGATGATGCCCTCGTTTCAAAAGTCGCACAGGACACATGCCACAAGTACAACCTATTATTGATCAGTCAAAGCAGCTGCTGTCCTCACAATGGCCACAACACTGTTCCATAATTACTGCATGACAGCGTGACAGGCGCTGACAAGCACACACACACAGTCAGAAAATTTAGTCAACCCTCATTCATTGGTTTTCATATCACAACCCGAATACAACATGTTGAGGCACCTCTGATTTACAAAAGGACTAAGCAGATTCAGCAATTTTCCTTTGCCTATTCACAGACACCAAATTCTGGTAATAGCCCATGTGGGGAATTGGTGCAATTAGACTCCTGGACTCAAAGGTGCACCCTAAGAGCTTGTCGTTACCCTGCCAGTTATTTGCAGTGCTGCTTTTGCTTGCTGCTGCACTGCTGAAGGGCACACAAACTGGAGAACATAAGGGAAGGCACTATGTCGAAATTGGTACATTTACTACCAATTTGACGTTGAGCACACAAAGATAGTGTCTTCCTAAATATAGTGTGCTGCATACTCACAGTATATATACTGCAAGCAGCACATACAGTAACCTCCACTGAAGATGATGAATATGTACTGACGAAAACTGCAGTTGAGAAAGATGAACAGCATTTCCGTTGGGCCCTGCTTCTACTTCTGGTCACACGGCAACGGGCATATGCCATAATTCAACCTCTATCCTTTTGGCAGGCATGATCTCAAGGAATATGAATGCAGTTTGGACGTGAGTCCAGTGACTCCATCTCTGGAGTGCCGAACTCAAGAAACGCTTTTCAACACCCCTGTCACCCACAACACGAGCGGCTCTTGCACCAGCCCAAGCGCAGCACGTGAACACAAGTGCTCCACAGGCACCCAGAAGTTCCGGCTGACTGTCAGACTTGCATGCATTCAGCCACAGGCACAAGTGCCTCGTCGTGCACACACCTCTGTGTCGACTCTAGCCTCCTAGACAGAGGCCAGCAGCCAGCACAGGGACTTCTTGAGCAAGTCAGCCTGGCTTGGTGTCCGACAGCTACATGCGCAGCATGTTCGGCAGATCAACCCGCCCTCATCTACCCTCAGCTAATCTACACCCCCAGACACACACAAAAAAGCCCCCTCGCCCTAAGCCCTAACTTTAACTCTCCAATGAGGGCACCTTGGGGTCTTCAGGCGTTTTGACCGCATTGCCAACAGGGCCCTCCGCAGATTGCAGCCCCCACGATTCCTCTAGGCTCTTTGCCACAGAGGCCACGAACCTGTCCACCTCAGAGGGCTTGCCCTCAGGCAGCCACGCCTCCAGCGATGCGCACAGCTTCTTCAACCGCGTGAGTGGGCCACCGATGGGCGTGCCATCCCTTATCCAGGCGAAAGGCCGCCATACCTGATCTGTTTTGATTCGGTAGGGGTCGACCCTGCATTGTTCAAACAGCTGCCTGACTTGATCAAGAAACTGTTTGCCAGGAATTTCCTCTGTGTCCCCCATTGTGTACCTGCCAACATCGCAAACACGACTGCAATAATCAACACAAGAAACTACGCAGGCATTATTGTAGCATGTGCTTCTGTGCCTCATTTGCTCCCCAATATATACGCTGCAAATTGAGGATCTTTGCATCTCTACATACACTAAGTGAAGTGTTCAACAGACATAACATCAGAACGACCATTTGCTGAAACCCTGCAAAAGGCAGCATAAATTAAAGAAAAGCCAAATACGCCAATTCTGCATCTGCCAAAAGCACAAAACAGGGCATAGCAGTTAAATTCTGTAACTTGAATCAAAGTACCAAAGTGCACTGAATTTTATGTTCCTAGAGTTGGTGTTTTCTTCCTTGGGATCTTTTGCTGCACTGTCAGCCACAGATGCAAAAATTTTGATCAACAACAAATTTGGTTTGGGAATGCAAAGATACTTGGGGGGTGATCAACGAAACTAATCTTGGTACTGTACAAGACTTGAAAGCAACCAGGCACGGAATGCATGGATCCACTCGCCGGAGTGCACAGGTGACTGTGTTTATGCACTGTGTAAATGACTGCGTGTCACATTAGCCATATCATCGCTATTAGAATGCAACTATACTGGTGTCTCTATTGATTCAATAGAAGACATTGTTCTTGACTGAAACAGTAAGTGCAACCGCACTTCACATGTACTGCTTGCATCGCATTTCAGAGCTGCTATGACACTGCCTAGCTATGGGCTTAACAGCAGCAGTAGTGTGGGCATGAGCATAAGAGACAGGCACAGAAATACGCAGTCGGGCTGTTTTAGCAAACTGCTGTACAGGCGCACATGCAATCCTGACCAGCATGACTGGAAAACAGAAGGCAGAAAATCACAACTGGCATTCTTATTGACGGTGAGGAAGTACAACATCCCATTCCTATCCCATTCGCGTGCAAGATTTACCACACCTGACCCTTGGAGGCCACATGCACCAAGACACAATTGAAGGCTGGGAACGAACAATACGGAAAAGGCAGAAAGTTAACTTGGACCAATAATTCCAACAGCCATTTAGGGAGACGAAAGTTAAACAAGAAACTCACTCCACTCTGAAGGGTTGGAGTCGAGAATCCTTCTTCTGCACAACAAACGTTGTGACCACCGATCTTGGGCTCAACAGCTGGACGTCATATGGTCCAACAATCATGCCAATAAACGGTGCAACGTTCGTTGTGTCGTCACAAAAGAGCGCCTGGTAATTACGCTGATTCTCCATGTCCTTTTTAGATGGCATTGGAGCAAACATCGGGTGAGAGTGGTACCTAACACAAGAACATAACACAAAACAATATAGGTTGAAGAATCAATTCTCAACCATCATTATCCCTACTTCAAACATGTACTAATGTTGCCAGCTATCTGCACAGTCAAGACCAATGAGTTGTCATGTCAAGAACAGTAGCCATCAGTTGCCATCAAGAGCAGTAGCCTTAATTGTCATGGTTCACAACAGAATTCATTGTGTGCCCTGTAGCCAGAAAGGCCTCTTGATAATGCTATGTACATGACCTGTTTGTTGCCTGAGGTGTAACGTAGGGGCCAATGCCTTGTCTATGTTGACAAAGGCAAACGAATTGACAATATCTTGTGGAATCCATTGTGGGTAAGTGATGGGGCATCTTTTTGGGGAAGATACCTGAAAACAGATGGGAAGAAAACAGGACAGTGCAGGAAAAGAATGAACAAATTCTGACAAACAGTTTGATGAAATACGAATGTGATATGGCAACCCCTGCAGCAAGACACTTTCTTCCTGGACTCCACTGTCCTTACTGAACATTCACCCTCAACCCCAAGACAGAGAGATGCAGCGGACTGTGCCCCAAAGGTGAGGGAAGAAACACACACCATCCCACTCCGCTAAGTCCCTTTGCAGCCATCTTGGACCTTGCTTGAACTTCTGCCTCAGGGTCCAGCTCCACTGACGTGTGGCCCTCGCTTCCGGCCACCCTGGTACAGGGGATCGCCTCTTGAACCACCAGTCGCTTTTCATCAGGCAGCCACTTGCCTCCCAACAGGCCGATGACTTCGCACTCGCTCAAATGGGCATGGCAGTCCATCATGAGGATGGCCTGTGTTCAGCAGCCAGGACTTCAGAAGTGTGGGTTTACATATTGCAGAAACTAACTGAGTCATAAAGTATATAAAATGTTTACCCCAAGGTAAGTAGTGCCGGAAATAACACAATAGGTGCAAAGAAAACGAATTAACGTTTTACACCAGTACAGATTTGCCCATGGTGGCACAGTTTCCACCGCAATCCCAGTTTGGGGACAAAGGGAAGGCATGGTGAAATCTCCACTGTTCACCGTTGTGAAATGCTAGAGCACTGGAAGGTTGCTAAACATAGCAAAATGCAAACTGGGAGCGTCTCTGAAGAAAAGTCATGCTTCCTCTGTCCCAAAGAATGGGCCCTATTTAGAATCGCTGTATATTCACGTAGCAAATATCAACACAGACATCGTAGTTGGAAGCAACAGGTTCCAGAACCTCCATGGGCACACCAAGATAAGAAAATTCCCCAGCTCCGTTCTGCATCAGCCAAAGGGCGCTGAAAATCGACGATCAGACAACGATTGCTGATCAAGCCATTTGTGTGCCCAGTTCAGCGAATCCTTCATCATTAGGATGGGTGCAATGACCTTAAAAGGGAGCTGTGTTGCAAGTTCTGAAAGCGAAGCTTTGGATCACTCGCTGGAAGCGACACCTTCACCATGGTGATTTTTGGCTGTTTCAAAAACCCCACGAAATTTGGTTCTTTTACACCCAGGGAGTTGCAGGGAGTTGAAGCACTGTCAGCTTTTCATTACTTTGAGAAAGGAACTAATCTCTTGACACAATCGCCTACACACACAATTATGAATACCAAAGAATGTTTGCAGATTTCTGGTTAGGTGCTAATATAGAAATAGCGGTGTAAAGCCATGGCAGACACTTGTTATCGGACAGGAAATGAACTTCACACAGTCCATTCCCAGTTCCTTCTACTGCAAACGCACTAAAAGTAAGGGAAACGAAGGAAGGAAGGGAACGAAACAGACAAGAAGAGTAGCATACAGAAAAACTGGAGCAAAGTACTACAGTGTGATGATGCAGCCTCCCAGCCTGAAGTTCTCCAAAACCCTCTCCCTTGGAAAAAACAGACATTGTTCAGATGATATATTTCGGCATTATTCTGTTGACAATCAGGATTTCAACAGTCTGCCTGCTATACTGCATGGAGACATGGCCCACCTGTAGCGACATCTCAACAGCAAACGGCTGGGCGTTGCAGAGGCACGAACCAGGTGGTCCAACAAAATTGAAGCAGTCGACAAGGTCCAGGCTCTCGGTCGTCGTCCCCATGTGAAGACGCTTTGTGGTGCAGGAGCGTTTCGGTCGATTTTTGAGGCCTGTGTTATTGTTCTTTTCCTCGTTTGAGGGTACAGCAGCAGGTCCATTTTTGGCGCTCGCATTGCCATCCTGTTCTTTGTTTGACGGCGGGGCGGCACACTGAGATTTGATGCTGGCACTGTCATCCTTTTCCTCGTTGGAGGGCCCAACGGGTGCAGACCTATCTGCTGGCACTGATGTCTGGGCAGTGGCCACTACCTTCGCAGGGACAGCAGGTGTAGGTTGTGCTGGCTCCAACGGTTTAGTGCTCAACACCTGCCATGCAACACACACACTCTTATGAAGGGGCTATTGACCCCAGTATATGCCATGAGGTAGAAACTGTACTGCAAAAAGTACCCCCAAAAGATGAATGAATACTGAAGCGCTGCCTCTATGGATGGTTGATATCCATAACAGGAGATGGTGTATTTGCAAAACCCCACACTGATCCTGCATACCAAGAGGAGAATGCAGGACACAAATGTTATACCACCACACACATATTTCATACGTGCCACTGCCTCCATTTCAAGAGTCTGGCACCTTCACAAGTGTCCACATTGACCGCCACAAATCCCATTGCTGGTGTGCAGATCTGGCATTTTTGGTGGCCTCACACTAATGCCTTAAATGCTGGCAAAAGATCTGTGCTATCTCGCACTTTGAAGTGACCATTGCAGAAATTGGCGATGACGTACCCGATCCTCACACTCTACCACCGCAACGTCTGCCTTTTCTTCCACATTCATCTCAGCCATCACAGCAGACTTGTCACCTGCCACTGCAGCTTCGGCACCCTTGGTTCGTTGACTTTGTTCCCCTGCCACGTCTGTCTCCATCGGAACAGCAGTGTCCTTTTGGCCTCCATGTTTTTGATTTGCTGTGAAGTCAGCGGGAAGGGGCAGATTGCACTCCTCCAGCTTCTCCAATAAGACACCACTCACAGCAACCGCATACTCATCTTTGTTGAGCTCTGTTTCCACACACAAAGGCAGTTAATGCTGGAGTGGCAAAAACGTGGCTTGGAGTTCAATTGAGGATTTTGAGGTATGCTTAGCAACTTGTTAGCGGACAAATGTGCCAAGAGGGGCACTGGCTCGCCAACAGCATTGGTACATTGTTCCAATGCCAATTGACAATAAATTTGATTGCGGACTGTGGACAAGTGTATTGCATGCTCGGCATGGCGATCCAGTTTTTGGTGGGAAAAGGTCCACAAAAATCCAGATTCCCCAGCTGTACACCACAGCAACATTCCCATGCCATTGGTGCAGCTGGTTGGGCGCTGAAAACAGGCACAGAACATCTCAAATGGTGCCATCCATTTTCAGCCATTCAGACAGACCACACTGGCCCACGATTATGGGCTTTCTGGAGATCCAAAAGTAAGGATCTGAAATGCAACTTCATACGTTGTTGAGCGCCCATGCATTCAGCCAAGGCACCATCTCACAGCAGCCCACTTTTCAGCAGCTCTGGCTTGAACCCGTAGGCTTTTGCCGACGAGGAAGTCGGGTCCAGCGGCTTCCCAGACAGCGTGTAGCCCAGGCCACCTTCGGCCACACGGGCTGGCAGTGGCTTCCCCTGCATGCAAAGCTTGATGAAGTGCTTCTGCGCGTGGCTGGCCAGAGCCCTGGAATCGCGGGAGCCGATGTGCTCAGCTCCTTTCTTCCAGTCGCGGCCATACAGCTGCAGTCCCTCCAGGAACTTCCTCTCCTCGTCGTTGTCCCACGGGCGGCCTCGTGCACGCTGCTGCCCAGTGTCTTTGCGCTTGCGTCGGCCTGTGGGAACCGGCACCGCAGTTGGCTCTCAGATGGCCCCAAAGCAGGCTGTCAGGAAAATATGCGATTGATGCAGAGAATGAACCCATGCTCATTATCAGCAGAAAACAGCAACTGAACACAAGGCCTGGCCCTCAGGCAATGGTTCTACACATTGGCTCAAACACAGTGCAACACATATTTTCATCCATTGAAAACAGGGTGAAGGGTGTGTTCAATAGCACAATTAATATGCACTGGCTTGTCAACGTACTGGTGCTGAATGGGACCTTTTTCTAGTACCCTGCTTCAAACAGCACAATCCCTAGATGCCCTCCAACATGTGAAGTCCAATTGCCAATGGCACTTGATATTAATACTTGCCTGTCTTGTTGAAGCAGTGGCGGCAACATACAACCCTCCAGTTTCAGCCACAGTCTTGAAATTGAAAAACCGGATACAGTTGAATCAATGTTTCAGTCTGTCCATGGCAAAGTTTAAAAAACTCTTGGGGAAACAACAAGTCGCAGTTTGCGTTTGACAATGGATCATGGGCAACAATGGAGAGGCAGTATGGGCAGTAGAGCACCTTCAGACTGACAAAAAGAACCCGCTGCGTCCCGATCGATAGGCAATTTTTGAGATATTGTCAAAATTCACTTCCCAAAGAAATCACCTGTGAGAGACTTCTCCATTTCGTCGTTCTCCTTTCCCTTGTCCAGAATCGGAGTCCCCTCGGGAGTGGCTGAAGCCTTGGATGCCCTCCGGGGCCCGCGCTTCTTGCCGCCGCGCGCCGAGCCTGCGCCAGGTTCGGGCAAACGCCAGTCAGCGTCCGACTCAACGGCGATCAATTTGCCACCCGCCGCTCGAGCCGCGCACCCTCCACCACTCACTCCACCAACTCGCAATCCCAGCCGCTCTTTAGGACCCCTTCCCGACCAACCCACCAACATGTGCTTCCCAATCCTGCCGAATTCCCGGGCAAAGAAAACCATTTCTTTTAGCGATGGCTCGCGTCCATAGGCCATTTTAACGCCTTCCGCAACCTTCCTCCTGCCATGTCCCTGACCCACGCCCTGCCGCATTGCGACTCCGCCGCGCGCGCTCCCCGTCAGGCAGGGGCTCCCGACGGCTAATCCCAGACCCTATCCCGCAACCTTCGCGTTCGGGGTGCCACCGGCGGGAAAGAGCCCCCGGGCGCCACGCCCATCATCCAAAACGGCGAGCGGCTGCGCCGCCTAGGGAGGAGCAAGACAACGGCGCCGCCCGATCAGCGACGGAGCGCAAAACCGACCAAGCGGGCGAGCGAGCAACAAAAGCGACACGAGCCAAACAACAAGAAAGGAGAAAACGGGGCGGCCCGCGAGCATGGGCAATAAACAAGGCGACAATCGACGCGCAGCGACAGGCGCCGACCCGCACCCGTCTGCTTTTCCGACCGCCGCGCCTTCTTGGCCACCGGCGACCCGTAGTCCGAATCCACGGGGTCGTCATCCTCCTCGCCGCCGCCGTAGGCGTCGGCCCCGCCCCCGTAGGGGTTGTCCTCAGACAGCAGTTTGGCGATCAGCGCGTTGGTGGCGTCGTCCGCTTCCGCGCTCATCGCGACGCGGGCTGCCGGGTGGGGGTGGGGGTGTGGGTGCAGGGGGTGGGCGAGGGGGGGCGGGGAAGTGGCGGGTTCGGCGTTGGGCCGTGGGCGGGTTGGGGATGAATGGCGCGGGGACAGAAACTCGGCGGGGGAGCCTGGACGGGGATTGGGCAGTGGTCCCAGTCATATGACGAGACGAGAATATATGTATTACTTCCCGTTCTTGTTTGCTGAGATTCGGTTCTTGTTCCGCTGACAAGGCCAGTCCCGGTGCGCGGATCAGTAGTTGGGGTTTAGGGTGTCCGAAAACAAGAACCGAATCTCAGCAAACTAGAACGGGAAGTAATTTTATGCCTCACATGACTCTGGGAGGATCTGTCATAATGAGCTGTTTTGCATAACAGGGCAAGGAGGATCTTTCGCGCCGTTGTAACCAGAACTGGTAGAGTAGTACTAACTAGAGTGGTAATAACAGCTGGACGCATGGAGGCGATGAGGCATTAGGAATTGCATTGAGGACGTTGATGGACGTCATGGGCATCACGGAGTGGATGCAAGGGACAGAATTCCTCTTGTTCTCCGCTGTAAACCGTCGCTGTGTACTCGAGCCTGTGGTCCCCAGTCAGGGGTCGCCACCCGTGTCGACCCTGCCAGCCTTCGTGAGCGCCATCTTGCAGGGCTGAAGTAACTCAGTAACTGTCTTGGGTTGAATGGCATTTGACTGAGCTGGTTGCGTCAACTTGTTGCATCACAGAAGCGATAGGCGAATTTGGCGGCCTTTGCGTGGGTTAGGTACTGGGTGACTTTGAGGCTGTTAGGATGAACCAATCGTTCAATGATGAATCCACTGCAAAATGGCGTTCACGTCAAGCAATATTTGCCAAAAAAAAGGCTGGTGCCAGACTCACTGCCATTCGGCACAAAATTCAAGTGTTTGTTAGTTATTTAAAACATGCCATGGAGAAAATGTACAAATAAATGTACGGCCTTGCGTACAAAGCAGCATAGGTCAGTCGGGCACGGTGGGCTTACTCTCCATGACTGCGGAAATGTGTGCTTTCCACTGATCCAGCGCCCTCCGTCTTGGAGACACGGACACATACCTTATGTTGGCATGTTTTTGCCACAGTATGGCACAATTCATTCATTGCTTCGGAAACTCTGCCCCACTCTGGCCCCGACCGACCCAACTAATACACTTTCTGCACGACTGCCCCAGATAATCTGACTTGTCTCATTTCCAATTAAATCCCGAGAATTCCAAAATTGTCATATTGTGAAGGTACGTGTTGGGCCAGTAATTGACTGTCCCAACTTGCCCATCCATCCCACAAGTAGTCGGCCGTCCACTTCAGTACATGCTCCCCAATCCCGTCCAGCTGCCGGCGTTCCTATGATCCGCAGCGACTACCCGTCTCCCTCAACCGCACACCTGGCACCTCCACCGCCCTCCCCAGGCCCACACCCACCGGCCACCCAAGCCATCTTCTCCACAGAACCGTTCCTGTTCACCAATGCGCAGTTCTCAAGAGGGACCCCAAACTGACACGTCCGTGTGAAGGGCGGGTAGTGGTATTGACATCTGCCACCAGAAAAGAAACAGTGATCCAGAACCGAATCAAGTGTGTCAATTATTGACATCAGCGTTACTCATCAGTAAGATTTCTGAAGTCTTTTCCGTTAGATTTCTGAAGATTTTCGGTCGTCCGCAATGTTTTTGAATACGCTGATGACATTATTCCCCGACAATGCCGTTGTGTTGCGACATTGATGTTGCAGCACCGCCTATTTAGGGCAAGCACAGTTGCTCCCAGGACGCGCTAGCATGGAAGACGTCGTGGAGGTCGCCATCCCGGAGTCGCTGTCCACCTGCGCGGAGTACCCCGCCTTGGTCCAAAACGTCCCGGAGGCCCTCCGCACGATCGGCGGTGAGGGCGGCGTCTCCAGGGCGGCGTCGTCAGGGGGGCGGGGCCGGCGGGCGTTCCTGTCCCTCAGGTGGCGCCCGGACGACCCGATGTGCCATCCCATCTACGGGGAGCGGCACGGCAACACGGGGCTGCTGCTGCGCGTGGCCAGGAGGCGAGCGAGCGCTGCGGGGGGCCCGGCGGGGGAAGCCGAGGGGGCGGAGGCGAGGGTTGAGATCGCGTCCGTGGTGAAGGGATGCTACAGGTCAGCGGGGGTGAGTTGCTTTTAACCACAGCTTCAAGAACTGTATCGGGCAAAACGGACGGTGATACAGCCAATCCACTGGTTTTTGTGCCTAATGACAATTTGCACAAGCAATCCGTCCATTTGCTTCACAATGATTACTAGAATGAAAATATATATTTGCTGAGCGAATATAGAAAAGGCTTGGGCGGATAACGTCCATGTGACATTTAAAACAACAATCGAGCTGTGTTGTCGTTCGGAACGGAAGAACAGGGTTCTTGAAGCTTGTGGGCGGTGGCTGGAGTGTTTGGAAGCAGAAGAGGTGTATCAATTTGAGGGTGTATATTTCTGGAGATGGTGATGCCTTAGCATGGGGATTTTGATCCAATGACACTGCATTTGCTGCACGTGTGAAAGCACAGTTGGAAGAGTTGGTTGAGGCGGTCTAGATTATAATGGGTGCCGGTGAGTTTGATTGCCGGGCAACAAGTTTTGTTCATTGGATCTTTGCTTCTGCCTTTGTCACCGACAATCCATGACACTGTGAAGGTCACAAGGTTAATGATTACATTGACGAGTCCAGCTGTAACATGCTTCCAGAGCAATCCCACTAAGGCTTCCATGATGCGACTTCCTTGAGAATGCTGGCGCCATAGCGTCTGGTGCAGCAGCTCAGTTTTGTAGCCAAGAATGTGAGCATCTTGCAGATGGCAGGCTTTTGTTGATCGCCGCTGTGGCTTTCGAGACAACGTGTCAAGCCACAGGATGAGCCAGCTTGTATTTTTGGCTTAAAGCATTTGAAGCAATTCACAGTGCTCATTGTGACTGTCTGACAGAATTGATGTTTCCAAAGTCCAGTGGCAATTGGTAGCCAAGCATTTTCAGAACATGGCATCTGGAGGACCTCTTTTATGAAGTATTGTGTGGTACGCTGTCAGGGCAATGTTGTGAACATTATGGTTCTCCACCCACAACCCCAGTCACGTCAGTCATGGACTGGAGTGTGCTTTTTTCACACATGATGTGTGACTTGTTGCTTCGTTGATGCATCTACTCACATCAAAGCACAAAAGATATGCTCAGGGATCATGGATTTCAATAAGAGATCAGTTCATTCGCTTCAATCCCCAGCATCGCATGCATTCCTCATGTTGTTCCTTTCCCTTGCCTGCCATCCACATTTCTGACCATTCTTTGTGCAGGTTTTCAGGTTTGTCTGATTTCATGTACGTTGGCAGTCATGGTGAGGAGCCTGAAATTCCTGGCAGGGCTGAGCCCAGTGCAACACAGTCGCAACAGAAAGAAACATTAGAGCCGATGAGGGTTCTTCCACCCCTTTTCTCAAAGGTCGACTACCCATTGGATTACAACTACAGGGATAACGCATGGCGGACAAGACACAAGGGTGAGCCGCCCACTTCTATAAAACCTGTAAGGTGTGTGCTCAAAATGTGAAAACGCAGCCCTCGCACATGCAAGGCACATTGCACCTGAGTCAGCTTGCAGATTGTCCAAAATACAACAGCCATGAGCGCCCCAGGGTGAGGTGTCCTGTTGCCATTCATTGTGAAGCCCCTGTGGATCTAATACTTCGCTTTTTGTGTACAGGCAAATACTGGCATGCCAGGAGAATCTCATTCTACTCCACCAATATTGTCCCACAAGCCAACAAACTTCCACAAACAGGTATGGTTGTAGTCTGTTTGCTCTCTTTACACTCATGTGGTGCTGATTGACCTTGCAAGCAGCAATAAGAGCATGTGAAAAAACCATATTCGCAGCAGTTGCCAATGCTTTGTGAATTGTTTACCACAGCAGCTGACTCTTTTTTAGTCTTAAATGACAAGATATCCAGTGCAAATGTTGCGTACTGCACAACATGGCCACTGCACCTGTGGCCTATATATGCACGGCCATTCTGTTTTGATTTGTTAGTCGAATGTTGACCGAGTTAGACTCCTCTTTTGAAGGACCTGGCGTCCAAACAAGTGAATGCATGAAATATCCCATTTGTGGTCCAGCAGATGAAGACTTCTTGAAGCATTGGAACTTTTTCAAGAAGCTCTTTGAACGACGAAAAATTTGGTCGACAGCCATGCTGGTGGATGAGGCCCATGGCGCTTGTGACAGGGATACAGTGATGTCAGTGATCAGACGCATGTGCTACAGATTTCGCCAAGGTAGGTGTTAAGCTCAAACGAATAACCACAAGATTGTCTGACATGCTCTTCCCTAAATGTGCTGATTCTGTGAGCCACACAGCCTGCATACCTGTTGCAAAGTGGTCTTCAAGCTTTAGAAGCGCCAACTTCCAGTTCTGATTGGCAGGAGCTTTGTGTGCAGCATGTCATTCTAAGTGTTTGCTTCAATTGTACCTGCCCATGGCACTTTTCCCATTGGATCATAGCCGCAAGACATTAATGGTTCCAGTGACAGAAATGTTGTTATAGCTGGTCTGGCAGCCTGGCAAGTCCACTTTGCGATCGTTGGTGATGTGTTCTTCAGGTTCGGTGCTGCTTTGCTGCTAAAGCACAAAGCAAATGTAAAAAATGGTGGAAAGGGCTTTCAGCGTAATAGTCCTTTGAGCTGTTTCCCACTATCTATTCCACCATGGAGAGCCTGGGCACTGTTGAATTTTGCTGTGACCCTTTTGTTTTGTACTCTTCATATCTGTATGTTTTTAGCTCATTTGCCCACTTTCATTTCCTCAGTTTATGGATGTCCCATAGACAAAGCTTACTCTGTCGGATGTCCTTGCACCCACAAGGCAATGAAGAGCTCTTTCGACCTCTATGCTCGGTCGTTGTAGCATGCACGTGAAAGCCCCACACAGCCCATGCGGACTTCAAGATTGTCCAGGTTGAGGATATGAACAGCACACCCTTAGCTGAAGGTTATGATGCAATCAAGACATTATTTGCTCTGAGGCATTGCTGTTGGCGTTGCCATGGAGCAGGCCCATGGCAAGGTTGTTGGATAGAGCTGGGATACGACCCAAGAATAGATTCGGCCAGTCGGCACTACCAATCCATGACATACATACTGCCCAAAGACTGGTGGGTTGCTTCACCATCCTGTCCTGTTCTGCACTGTACTGCATTGTGTTGCACTTTGTTGTACTGTGCTCTCTGTGCAGAAGATGTCAGTCGGTGGCGAGAGAAGTGCTTGTGTTGCAAGATTCCTGTTTTTGTTTTGGTGCATTGCAACAGTGGTCCAAAGCCATGCATGTGCTTCACTTGCACAGCAGGCTTGTTCGACCTATTGTGTAAGTATGCATGTGTAGATAATAATGCATAGGTTTGAATGAGCTATAGTGCAGTACAACAAGGTGACACCACAATTGCTTCTAGACTTTTCCCCTGTTGTATGTGCATACCACAATATCAGTAAGTTGAAGGTAGAGGGGCGTGGTGTCCTGGATGTTTGATATGACTGGAAGAAAGCCACCACTCCAGCAGGGGATACATGCAGACACATGCATGGGAGTGCATGGATGCACCAATCTGAGAATATCAGCAACTTCAAGCTCTTGAACCCAGACAAAGGTAGCCTTGCAAAATGGTGCATTTTCCTTTGCGAAATACACACTCCATGACACAAGGTTTGTCCCTAGAAACTCATTCGTTGATCAGGAGCTTCAAGGTCCAGATCACGTGCGTTGGGAGTGTTTTTTTCTGGCCCCTGGACATTGCATCACCTTAACATGTGAAGCGTCGTCCATTCACTTCAGCCGATGCCCAGCCGATGCAGGCCTGGCAGGCGACAGCGGTCAATATAGCCTGACGCTTTTGTTCAAAATTATTCATCTGCAATGTGATAGCGGCTGCAATATCTCTGCATGGTCAACTGTCAGTGTTGCAGATCTTCATACATTGATCCTGTGCGGATCGGACTCAGTGGAATCTGTGTTCGAACTCGGTTTTATGTTTTGCTTCCGGCACATGACAAGACAAATGTCTCGCATCTTGCGGGAGGTGATGCTGAGCGAGACAAAACAAGTAGGCGTTTAATCCTTCCTTTTCAACGATGGATCCACTGTCCGCATGTTGGTGCAATGTGCAAACGACGGTCGGACACTTCCTGAAGAACTCAAAAATGCAGTCCGCTCGAAAAACAGTCCAGAGAGTGCAACATCTGCAGCTAGATAGCGACCAACTGGAAAAAGAACGAGCTAAGCGATCCAGACAGGTCTCCTCAAGCCCAAACGCGCTGTCAGAGAGTTGCAAAGATAACAGACCAGATCTAGAGCAGATTCTGCATTTGCCGTTCTGTGCTGGAAAACGGGGATCAGGAGACAATGAGGAAAGACAATACAGGACAGATTGCAGGAATCCAATTCTATCAGCGCCCTAACGTTTAGAAGTACATTGTCTTGTAGGTATTTGAAAGCCAGGAGAAAGCACCTGGACCGGCGTCAGTCCAAGGACGCTCCTGGTGCCATGATGAGCCTGAACAGGTAACAGGTTGCTGGTGCTGGCATGGCTGCAGGCTTGACATTCCCGCTGCCTTCGTTGTTGGCCCGCAATGGCCGCATGTGTTCACCAGGCGACGTTGGGCTTGGGAATTGCCAATATTAGAAACGCCAGGTAGTCTTGCAGGTGCCCAGCTTCCAGTGCTTGCGCACGACTGGCCATAAGGCTGCACGCGTTTCGTTGCAGCTGTTTTTCCTTCCTTCAGGAGGTGGGGTTAGCGTGCCTCATTCGTGTAGTGTGTAACATTACGTAACTTTATGGGGCTGCGTGGTTCCAGGAAGACGAGGGCTTTCCGATACTTATCGTTTCCGAACTTGAAGGTCAGGAAAGGCTCTGAAAGATATCAAGGCTTCAAGGTCCCTTAAAACCTAATAAACCAAAAGGCTAAAAGCCCAGAAAAGCGCAATGAACTTCGTGACCTGCATATCCGGAAATGGGTGGTTTCCGACATTTGTGAGGAGGGCATATTGGCCACGGGCACCTCAGCGATCTCATTCATGATTTGCTGCTCCGAAGGCGCATGGTGGGTGCAGACGCTGCTCCTGTTCCGTTGCATTTCGAAAATTTTGGCGGTGAACGATCTGGCACTGGGTGCCAAAGATGATCCGGGAAAGAGCCACGGCGTGCTCTTATCTTCCTGGAGGGAAGCCCCGCCAACAATACGCTACCAACTGCAGAATATGCCTGGAATATTTTGACTATATAAGATTGAGAACAAATCGTAGGCCGGACAAATGCCGCTCGATTTCTGCATCGCTCGGTGGAGGAGAATGCGTTGTCTCGTGCCCAGCTCGTCCTGGTGTTTGCCGCTTTTCCTGTTGCCTGAGTTCTGTCAGCGCGTGTGCAGTTTCTGTCACGTCCCGTATGCGCGGAAGACGACCTTGCAGCTCTGCGACCTGAAGGACGACCGGATCCAATCCATCCTCAACGATGACGGGCAGTGCAGCTCAACGTGCAGGGAGTCCACGGGTTGGCTTGCCGACGCCGCGTGGACGTCCATCAGGGACGCAATCGACAGTCGCTTTCAGGCGCTCTTGAATGCAGAGACGTGGGAAGCGCGCACCAGGGCGCCCACCGATGCGCCCGTTCCTGCCAAGCACACGGCTGGAGATGGCCAAGGGCAAGGGACGCAGCCGGCGGTGGCCGCCACGCCTCCCTCAGATATATTGGCATCAGCGATCGCGGAGCTGGGAGGGGATGTCGGAGAGGACCTGGAGGGCGGGAGCGAGACGGAGGAAGGGGAGACGGATACGCAAGGGGGTGAATCGGAAGAGGATGTTGATGATTGATTCGAGTCAATCGATTCGAATATTCACAGACACTGTCGGTTCATCCAAAACGCCGGGGAAGAATGCACCAAGCATGCACGCTTCTCAATGGCATGGGCAACCGCGGATCGTGGGGTTTCAAAGCAAATGGTTCCATCATAAGTGCTTGTATCAGGTGGGCGGATATTCGCACTGGGAGGGAGTAGCGTAGTACATTCAGCCCTTCCGCATAGAAAAGTAACGCTTGGCCTTCTTTTTGCAGAGAAAACAATAAAATGAATATCGCTACTTTAGCAAAGAAATTTCCGGAGCAAGGAAAAAAATAACGCTCTGAAAAAACAAAATGCCGAGCAAAAGGGGTAACAGCAAATGTTTTTGATGTGGACGCGTTGAATATATTGCGGTATGCATAGATGGCCACAGAACTGCGGCTCGATTAGTTGAGCTGTAATCAGTTCTATTGCTGCATCAACAAGCAGGAGGCTCCCTTTCGATGCAAGCCCAGCCATCCAAAGCGTTCTTCGCTTCATAGCCTGTGCGAATCGAAGATGGACTCCTCGGCACTGTCTTGAGTTCCCGTGCACAGATTAGCAAAGTGAGCCCACATGCAAGGCACCGTCCGAGTCTAAAAGCATGCAACGCACATGATGTATGTGCGGCTTGAGTTTGCCACTGCATCAGGCATTACAAGCGTTAAAGGAAAAGGAGCTGCCCATTGTCATCGTCTTTCCATGAACGAGTCGAGGTTGCGAGAATGGGCGAGCGTGTGCTGCCGTCTGCTCATCAGATAGGGAGTGTCAGCTCTAGACAGTGCTATGTTTCCGCCCTGTGCTGGCAGTCTCCAAATGGATCCCCCGGCTGCCACCACCCTCTGCAGGAAGCATTACCACGTGAAGCCAACCAATTGCCAGGTTTGGCAAGGCCTTCAAGTCGTCCCTGCTTTGTGGACTGCACGCTTGAAAACCTCGATTCAGAAAAGCTGTGCCCAATGCAAAGTCTTGACTCCGCACCGACAGGGACCTTGTCGGCAGCAACATCACATTGTCAACACGTTGATGCGACATGACACACTGTCCATTGTGCCTTCGGCCCACGAAATGGGAGTTCTCGATCGTTGCCGCTTGTGGTGGAGGAAGTCTGTTGGCGGTGTGCGCAAGCCCTGGCTCACTGCAAGGCCCTAAACAGTCTTGATTGACGTTTGAGGCGATGCGGTGGACGCCGGGCCATGCACGAGCGCGCAATTTTGGACTCTTTGGGTCATCCAGTGCGACTGCGCCGCCTTGCACCTCCCCCTGCTTGCACGAGCCCCCTGGCCTGCACGCCGACAGAAAGGAGAATGGACCGGCTTCACACGTGATGGCGAGATGGCACTGTGGCCAGAAATGAGATGGGTCGGATTGGATTGCCGGCAGGACTGCATGCACCCTGGTAATGTGGCGCTTCCTTGGTGCAGTGCACGAGCGGCGGTCCATCAATGGAGTGCCGCGTTTTCGCTGGTCGCGAAGCGTCGTGTCCACCGCATCTTGCCGCTGCCGGCCAGCGCGCATCCTCACACTATAATATGATATATGTATACATTATGGGTGATTAGCAAGGAATCCCCGCTTGGTCTGAGGCCGCGAGCTTGTGTGCAGAAAGGCGCTCAGAAGGCGGCATGCCATCGCACCATTGGGAACAGGTCTGCTTGAATCTCTTTCTTTTTCTCGTCATCGAAGTTGGCCACCTCGTCCTGGAGTGAACCCATGTCCGTTGCCGCCTTCCCTGAGTGGCTGCTGCGACGATGGGCGCTGCGCCGAGCCGTGCTTGGACGACCTGCGGCACCGCATTGGCGCGGACGTCGCGCAGCCAAAGTCTCTTGACAGGTCCTCCCATCGCTGGAGTTTGCAATTTCGCACTGGAGGATATGAAGGGCAAGCCAGACAGCAGTCCCTATTTTTCGCATGCTATGCTCGCTTCGCCTGCTGCACGACAACTGGACAAGTTGTTCAAAACGAAATTTGTTTTGTGAAAGGTGGTGTGAGCCTCACACCACCTTCCACGAAACAAACAGTCCCTCAGGGACTGCACTTTTGCAGCGCTTGCTTGTACCCTTTCCCTGAAAGGCAGCTAATGCTTGCGCACCTCATTGCAACTCTTTACGCCATGGCGAGGAGGAACACTCAGCGGCGCGAGACGAGCGACACAAAACGCACAAACCCGGACTGATTGCATTCGCTGCTTATTGAGTTCGCTTAATGCGCCTAATGAATGCCACAAGACGCGGCGCATCGATGCCCTGCTCCCATTATGTGACGCCAGGCGACAAGCAGCGTGCCCTCACCCGGTCTACTGTGGACAGCCCTCGCGCTGTCCACCAGCGCCTGAGGGCAGCCGATCTCGTCCATCATCTCCAGCTCGTCTCGCAGATTTGTGTACGAAAAGTAGACGTTCCCCAGCCCCTGCGACTCGACCCCCAGCGGTCCGCCGCGGACCAGCGCCTCAGGGGTGATATCCAGCGCCTGCTGGGCCTTCGACGAGTCTGCCGCGGCCCTCATTGTGTTGCCTTGACAACGGGATCATTCACATCAGTTTATTGGGCTCAAACCCTGAGGAGTAGCCTTAATATTTACGTCGAAAATGACTTCTGTTTACAGCTATTCACACGCAAAGATGGCTTTACACACTTATGCGTAGATAAGCGTAAAAATGCCTAAAATGTGTTCTGTGCAATCAAAGACAGTGCGTAAGTACTCAGGGAGCCTGGAGAACGGGGAGCTAGACGCGCTGAAATGTGCAGAAACGACCTTTTGTTCGACGACGTCGATGCCCTTGCTGAGGGCGAGGTGGGCGCTGTATAGCGTAGTACTTACCCCTCGAGTTGCAAGTGCTCGAGGGGTTGGAGAATTCACTTTGTTTGGGACATCATCATGTAGTGTGGACGCGTCGACGAGCCGGAAATGTGCATAAATATGGCCGTAAGAATGGCCGTTTCTTTATTTGCGCGTTCTTACACAGAAGAACGTAAACTCAAAAAAAGAATCTTAATGTAAGGGAAGACACTATGTTGAAATTGTTACACATGGGAAGGGGGGGGGGGGGGGGGGGGTTTTCCAGAACTGTGACTCTAGGAGATTATGTAATTGCAACAAAATCGACATAAGCTTGGAAGATACCAAAAACGCTGCCGAAAGTTGGCCAGAACTTATGACTTGTCCTCAAACTGCCCTTTGGCGCTTTAGTCTTCACAAAAGGCTCCATTAAATCTCAGTTGACTTCATTGAAAACTGCCTCAATCATCTGCCATGGCTTTTGCAGCTCAATTTTCACACCGCTAACATCGCTGCAGTTTTGTCTGTTGTCGTTTCTTCAAAACACAAAAAATTTGTCCCACACCATTATGTTATGTTACGGAGTCACCCGGGCTTCGACATAAGGGTTGACGCTAGGGGAGGTGGGGGTGGGGGTGGGGGTGAGGGGTAAGGATTGCTACAAAAAGAGAAAGAGAAACAGGTCATACAAAGGGCACCCCCTCCTAGGCAAGTGCATGTGAAGCTCTGCTCCATGCTAATAAAAGATGATATAGAGCCCCCGAAGCAAAGATAAGCACGCAACACAAGCAAGGCATAAGCAGGAAGAACATGCAATGGGGGGGGGAGGGGGGCCTGAGCTTAACGTCAAATTAAAACTAAGGTAACAAAATCGACATAGCGTCTTCCCTAAAGGCCAAGCCTGTTGAGGAGGAATGGTGAAGGTGGAGGTGCCGCCCTTCATAGGCGCAGACTAATGCATGTAAACTGTACAGTGCATTTTGAAGTAAGCGGAATGTCACGCACAGTCCACCCCACAGTGTTATTCGATGAAGCATATTTGATATCTCCCTTGCAAGCGATGGGCACATCTCGAGCTCGTGGCACACTCTTACCACTTCGACAAGCCGCCGTCGACCTGTCCGTGGAACGAGACGGCATTTTGCTGCTCTTTGTACACATCTAAAAGCCGAAGAAATGACCGTTATGCAGGGGCAGTACATCTGCGCAGTGGCGTACATATGGGCAAAGAGGAGCTCTGTTCGGATCGGCTGCCGCTATCATAGCATTATGTCCAAATGCGCAAAAATGGGCAAATACAAGTTGTGTTTTTGCGACGGAAACAGCAAGCTTGCATGCACCCCTCACCTCCGTACTGGATGTGGTCGATGTGCCACGTTTTCTCAAACTCGTCGAAGGTGCAGTGCTGCATGATGGTCTGCTGGTACTCCGGCGGGATGAAGCTCGCAATGACGAGATCGTTGAGCTTGAGCTGCTGGGTCATTGTGCGGATGTCTTCCAGCAGGTCCTCGCGCTCGCGCTGGAACTGCTCGTTCAGATCCGCGATCTCCGCCTTCTTTGCTTGGTACTTTGAGTACACGCTCTTTAGCTTTGCCGTCTTTGCGGCGACCTCCTCCTGCCAGGGGCTTCCGCACCTCAGCCACATGTGCCCACGCTGACCGAGAATTTCACATGTGAAAATTTTGAAAACTCAATGAAGGAGCGCTAAATCTCTGTACACGTTAGGTCAATCGTAAGCTTGTATATGCTTATTTGATTATCTGTTTAAAACGATCGTGTATTCAAGTCAATCATAGACTCAAGAGCTTGATCTGCTCCTTGTTCCCCTAAGGAAACACTTGCATGTGCGCGTCGACGCCCGGAGGCATGAGATTGATGTTCGCAGGTCACACTGTGCACCTTTTCCGCACACATGCCGCTCCGCACCGCGCGCCCCCACTGCCTTGTAGTTGCACTCAATAAGCTTCCACGGAATTTCGTTTGCGACAAGTGCGCTGCTGATGCGTGTCGCCCAAATGGTCAAGACTTCTTTTCAATAGTAGATTGCAAAATTCATGATGCATTCAGCGCAGTGCGTAATCTGCTTAAAATGTCGCCAAACACACGATTAAACTCATAAGGCATGTGCTCATCAATTAGGAATTTATTGTGCTATGTTGTAACATGTCCAGTTTCTGAGAATCGGTTATTGTTCGTATGAAACGTCATGGGATG